AATATGACAAAATAATAATAGCAATAATCAACCTGAGCTGTTAGAGATAGCAAGAGGGCATCTAGTGTGGGTAAGTGATTTGATGAATTCTGATGGGGCCAGCTGGAATGAATGGCTGATAAAACAGGTTTTTGGGGGAACTGGACAGTACATCCATCTTGAAGATTGAATCCTTAAACCCAAGCCTTGATGACAAATGGAGATGGAGGTTGAACAAGAAAGGAACTTTCTGAGTGGCTTCTTCATATGCTCATCTTATGGAGCAGAAAATTCAGAAGATGGATATACCTGAAAGCAGCATTAAAGATTCTCATGACCAGGTGGCTAGGAACAGATTGTGGAAATTGAAAGTAAAAGGGAAACTGAGGCACTTTATATGAAAGTGTTGTAATGGAACCCTTCCTGTTAATTTGAATCTTAGAAAGAGAGGGATGATGGTGGATTGCATATGTCCATCATGTGGAGGAGGAATAGAAACTGTTGAGCATTTGTGTTTCCAGTGCCCTCAAGCTGAGAAGATTTGGAAGTTGAGTCCAATAAAATGGGATGGGATCAACACTGAAAATTGTACCTTCAGAGAATGGTGGAATTACATATGTGAAACAGGTAAATGTGCTATTAATGAAGACATAATACAGCTTTCTACATACCTACTATGGTGGTTGTGGAAAACTCGTAATATGTGGCTATTCAACCAGGTAATGATTCCTGAGCACTTGGTGATTAAGAAGGCAGTTGGGGAGTGGTCTGAATTTTCGATGAAATGCAGATAGGGAAGCTGTTTTACTCACAGAAGATCAGTGGCTGGGGCTTTTAATTGCTGTTTTTGATTTCTGTTTTTTGTTTTGGTCTTGCTAATTGTACTTTCTTTGCTTCAGGTAGTTTCAGGTGGATGTTTTTTTTAGTTGTGGTTTGTCTGTAGTTAGAGTTTGCTGGTGGTTTTGAGGTCCTTTTATATCTTGGCTAGGTCCTTGGACAGTAGTCAGGTTTGTTTGTGTGTCTGTTATGCAACTTGGTTTATAGAGGCTAAGGGTCTGGTTTGCTCATGCCTTAGTCTCGGTCAATTGGTTGTGTCTTTAGGCCGCCTGCGTGCGTGTCCTCCCATTTTTCTTTTGTTTGTTGGCCAGTTTCGGACTGGGCTCGTTTGTATTCGAACTTGGTTCGTTTTTCTATAGCTATAATATCCCTTTCGTTTTGGGAAAAAAAAAAGAAATTAATAATTATTCCCAAATAATTCATAATCGAGCGGAGTGTTACATTCATAGCATGAGCACCGTTCCCCAAACTAAAAGTTGATGTAAGCCAATAATTGAATAATTATATAATAACATGAAGTTAATGAATAAAATTATAATATTAATTTTTTTTGTATATGTTGAACATACCAACCTTCTCTTAAGTCTTGAATTTCGGGGAGATGCTCAATGAGTCAAGACTGTCAAGTCATAGTATGCGATGTGCTCGGTTGAACTTTTCCTTTTACGTTTCCGAACATAATGTACAATTAGCATAAGATAAATAAAAACAGTGAATATGATATACTTCGCTGGAGTCAAGTATAAATGATTATAGATATAGAAATGTACTTTCCCATGGTTTTACTCAACAAAAATTGATTATAAATATCCATATATGCCCACCGATTGCAAATTGTGATTTGAATTTAAGGAGTCGATCAACAAAATATCAAAATTACATTTTCTTCATGAAAGACAATCTCCATAAAATAATTGTATTCAACATCAAATTTTCTTCACTGTGTCCTAAATCGGTGCCATTTTATTTTTTACGAAAGAAATAAACCAAAAGAAGACTCATAGAAAAGTGAATAGAGAGCGTTTTAACGTGTTGAATGAATGTTTTTAATTCGATAAAGCAAATTTGATAAAACGTAATTAACATTCAAATAAAATAAATAAATAAAAGATATCAATGAAATAAATGAGAAATGACAAAATCATTCCATACTATCGGATATAAGAAAAACCAATGGCGAAAATGTAGTAATTTAAGTCATGAATTTTTATTTAGTTTCCACATATCGATATCTATTTGTGATAATAATATTGGTCGTAAAAAAAGTTTTACATTGAGTAGAAGTTGTAAGTATTTGAAAATTGACAGTGAATGAACGAATCTTCATTTGTACTTAGAAATAGGCTAATAATTAAGGGAAGTTTAATTTATTTCTTAGATTAATTTTCTTGGTATTAGTTAATTGAAATAAATTAATGTGTGTATTTTTTATGCGGGTTTAATTGAGGCAATCCAGATAGGCTTTCCTTACGAAGAAGGTTTAGCCGCTGAGTAGAACATTCCATAAATGGAGACGGCATAATCAATCAGGAACTTACCTTATGGAGCGTCTTTTGGCAGCGAAGAAAGGTTTCACTTACCATATGTGAATCCGGATTTAAGTGTTCTGACGTGAATGAAGAACAGATGAGGATTAAGTTTGAAAGAGAGTGAAATTTTAAAAAGTTGAATAATTCCTTGAGTTTGTGTTTTTATATTTTATTGAGTGGTGAATCAAGATGCTATCTTGATCACGTTGAGTTTGTTGTTTTGAATTGTAATAGAGTTTTCAGAGGTACATTCTGTTCTATCTGAGGGAGTCAAACTAAAAAAGCCAGAAGGGACTTATGGTCGGATAAGTAGTCATGTAAGTCTTTACTTCAAGTAGAGTGTAGAGGGAGTCTGCATTGTAAATCCTACAGTAATGGTTGTGATAACTACATTAATGAAAGAGATCCGAAGGGAGAGTGGGATGCTCTCCTGATGGTTCAATTTTGAGAAACTCTGCTTCCGTAATTGCTTGAACCTTCTTATGTTTACTGATTTATTTGGCAAGCGCTATTTCGGTTGTTTTTATATACTCGTATACAACTTCAATTGGAACTAGAGAGAATTTTTGTATGCATTACGAAGGATCTCATGACTTGTGGATTGGGCAATCATGAATTAGGAAAGTGGATGGATGTCTACGCCTCTGCAAATAAATGGTTCAACTACTCCTACTGGAAACCTATGATGACGAATTTTATGAGATCTCTTGGAAAAGGCACTTGGGAAAGTGTCGAGAATGGCTGGGAACATCTTGTTATGCCAGAAGCACCAGATCAAGGAAAATGATCTTCATAGGTTGTTGTTTGAAAACTGAAAGATCTTTAGACTGACGACTTCAAACTTCAAGAAGAAGCGAACTATCGAGATCTCTATACGATCATGATGGTTAATAATCAGACACGACACAAGATGATAGTTCATGCAAGACAGCGAAAGGTTCTTTGCAAGTTCTACAACGCAGTTTGAAGATTCAACGGCAGTCAAAGCGTACAGACTTCAGCGAGTAATTCTCGAATTTGATAAATTTAGAATGTCGGATGAAAAAAAATATATATGTATTATTCTAGATTCTGTGATCTGGTAAATCAAAGTGGGATTCTTGGAGAAGAAATCTCTGAAAATCCTCAAGTCTATGCGCACAGTTGCACATAGGTTCAGAGAAATAATTACTGCTCTTGAGAGTTTTCAAAGAATTGCACCGATGTACATTGAAGAGATCCTTGATGATCTTAGGACGTTCGAAATTAACAACAACTACGACAAAGTCAGGAACAAGGGACAGGCTCTCAAAGCCGTTGTTGATGTCTAAAAATGACCAACAACGTGTTCGAACTGTACACTAAGATGTGTACTATGTTCGGTCTGCACGAATAGAATTTGTGTTTGTGGTTCGGTTTAATTTTACTGGTCCGAATGCTCAGTCTATCCGTGACTTGTTGAGTAATTAATGAGAGCATTTACTGATTGCATTAAATGATGTCCTCCCCTCCCTTTTATAGGAAGTTTAGGGACTTTACATTTCTCTCTTGGGGATTTTTACATTTCCTTTGACAGGATATCTTTAGATATTAGTCATTCAACATTTAATGCTAATTGTACTTGATAATCTTTTCCCAATATCTGAGAGTCGTCCGGATCGTGCCACGCGTCCCTATTTTTCCTTTGCCGTCGGATAAGAGATTTTCATGTATCTCCGCATTTAATGCGCGCAGTACGGCTGGCTCTTGTAATGATTAAACAGATCTCACTTATTCTCTCCCATCCGTTCGACAGCGGCCCGATCCCGGAGGCATCCGGTTCCCTTTCTTTTTCTTACTGCCATCCGTTCGGTCTGTACCACCAACAAAGGCCCCCTGATTCGGGCATCACGTTAGGTATAGTCTCCGGTCGTAATGCCCGGATCTGTATATTCCTGATGAACCGAACGTCTCTGCCTCCTTCTCTTCGTCCGACCGGTCGTCCTCTAATCCCAACCGGCGCGTATCTTCAGTGACGGTTACCTTCTCCCAAAAAGGCGCGTCTCCTTCTTCGACGGTTTCCAGAGTAACTTCTATTTCACACGTGTCGCCTTTTTATTGGGAGCCCCTGTATTAATGGCGTATGCGAATCGCTTCGTCTGACACGTTGTATCGTACATTAATCATTGTGTCTCTTCATTCCCTTTTTGGACTGTATAAATATGTCTTCTCCCCTTTCGAAAAATCCCACACTATTCTCCTCATTCAAAATTACTCTGACTTCTCCCTATTCTTGGAACCGATCGACCCGTGCATCCGTTCGACTTTCCTTTTCCTGTGGTCTAATTTCCGCTGGAAGGTAATTTTTTCTCTTCTTCTCCTTATTTCTCCTATCTGTTAGTCAATATGAGTGCCGAGGCTTCGTCTACGTCCAAAACTTACAACGAGGAGCAGTACGAGGAAGCCCTTCAAGGTGACACGACGGGCAGGATAAGACTCCCACTCCAAATAGAGAGTTCGGATGAGGATCACCGGATAGAACAAGCAGTCGTGTCCGTTCCAAGAAGATACTGGCGTCGTCCGTACCGCGAATGGCCGTCAACGAGCATTTTCGGACTGGCTCACATCCCCAGCGACATGACGGACGATAAGGTGGTCAAGGTCCGAACCTCCATCCGGCTCCCTCGTGACATCAAGATGTTTGCGCCCTACAATTGGGAACGGGTTCACTGTCCGCCACCCGGTTATATCGGCATGTTTGAGCGTTCGGTTGCTTTCGGGGTCCGTTTCCCGTTCCCTCGTATCCTAACCGAATACCTGAGAGACTGGGGGGTCGGTTTTAGCCAGGTTTCTCCGATCGCCTGGCTGAAAATCATTAGTCTGCTCGTATTGTTCAGTCAACAAGGTTGGGAGATGCCGACACCGGACGACATTCGCGCGCTGTTCCTGATGAAAGAAACGAGAAAGAAATCCGGACAGTTCTCTATATCTGTTCGGGATCCGAGATTTAGGGATCTCATCACCAAAGTCCCGGAGACGATCAACAAATTCAAATCTTCGTGGTTTTGGGTCGGACACGGCTGGCAGACACGGAAGTCTCCGGATGATTCGGGAGCTTCTGAATTTTTAACCGTTCCGACGAGATTCGTTGCAAAGATTTGTGAGTTTATGCTTTCTTTTTCTCGTTTGTCTCTCTAATTTTTGGTTATTTTTTGTCCGACCTAACAGGTCAAGTTCATTGTTTCAGCCAACCATTCGCTCGTTCCTGAGTTGAGAGAGTCGTTCGTTCTCCAATTGACTAAGTTGTTGCAAAAGGGCGAGGACGAATGTGCCGGACCCAAATTGGTAGAGGATTCTAATCTGTTCGAGGCCGGACTCTGTACGGGCGACGTCGAGATTTCGTGCGTTCCCAGTAAGTGCCTTTATCCGTTTCCTCTTTCTTTAACCGTTCGGTCGGGTGGTTGTATTGTCCAGTTTTTTCTTACTGTTCGGCTTCTTGCAGCTTTTTATCCTTTGGGTAATTTGAAAGGTGTGGCCACCGACACGGAAGCAAAGAGGACTGCTGTGAAATCGAAAGGAAAACAGACCGCTACTAGTTCCAGACCAGAATCGAAATCCAAAGAATCGACTGCTGAGATGGACCGTTTGGCGATGATTGGGAAGATGAGGGCCGCCCAGGCATCAGCATTGAAGGATCCGACCCCTCAACAGGAGGTCGGTTATGAGGTTATCGAGTCTTCGGGTGAAGAGGACGATCAGCCGTTACAGAGAGGTCGCGTGGCGAGCCGAAAACGGGCTGCTGAGGTTGACGAGGCTCGTAAGGCCAAGCGCCCGGTCCAATCGGGGACTCAAGAGCAAGGTTCGACGGCTGGCCCCATCACACCGGTTGTGCCAAGCGGTTTCTTTGAGGGGATGGACGCTCCTATTCATCAGGACGGGTCGAAGACTTATCTCCGGGTCGAGCCCACCCGAGCGGCCCAAGCGGATCGCCTAAAGAATGTATCAGACAGATGGTTTGTTCGTTACAAGTCAGTTGCGCACCCCCTCCTGCCGAACGTCGGGAACTGGCCCCCGCACGTGACGGATGCTGCCCTGGCACCCTTGATGAGTTGGGATCTCTCGGCCGAGCTGACTGCTCAAGCGCTCACTCCGACCGAACGGGTGGAATATGCGGCGAGGAGCTTGGGTCGTGCTTTGTGCATGCAGGCGGCGGCCCTGGCCGACTTCAAAAACATGAGCAGCGAACTGACGAGGATTACGACCGACCATGCCGTTTGCAAGGACAGGATCTACTCTCTCTAGGACGACCTCAAGAAGTCCGAACTGCTGCAGATGAAGATTGTCGAACTTGAAGGTGAACTGAAGGTGGTTCGATTGGAGGAAGTGAGGCTGATTGAACAGGCAGACAGTGCCAAAAATCAGCTGACCGAGGCCGAAAAGGAGCTTGCTGCGGCAAAATTGAATGCTGAGGAAGCCGTCCGGAGACTTGCTGCGGCCGAACGGGAAAGGGACACGGCGCTGGCCGAACAGAAAAGACTCCGGTCCGAGTTGGAGGGAGCGGGACAATCCCGCGGCTAGTATGAAGACGGCTTCGAGAGGGGCCGTTTGGCTGGGTTGCAAGAGTACAACAAGACGGACAAATTCTTGGCCGACATGGACTTGAACGCGGCGCTCAGACTGAACTGGGTTATCCATGCGATGAAGGATGGAGGGAAGACTCTGAAGGACCTCGAGGCTATTCGTGATATCAAATTCGAGCGGCTGGCTCTGCCCAAGGAGATGAAGATTTCGGCCGTGATCGCGGATGACGATGAGAAAACCTATGACAGCCGTCTGATGGACTCCGCCTTTTCCAAATCTGCCGCGGATACGACCGGGGCCGGTCCGAGCCACCCTCCCGACCGTCAAGGCGAAGGAACGGGCGAGAATGATGAGGATGCTGGGAACGGACAACCACCCCCCGTTTGACTTTCGATCACTTTCTAGTTGCTATTTCTGTTTTTCCTTTAAGTATGTTTGCGTATGTTGCTTGCTGTTTTGAACAACTTATTTTAATTTGCATTTCTGAATGTTGGTGTGTTCCGAGCCCGGGGATGGTTTATTCCCTGTAGGGTTCGGGTATTTGTGTGATTTCCCTATGTATGGAAAATAAACTAAGTGTGGTATTTTATGTTTCCGTCGCTTAATATCTTCATGCCGCTTCGATCTTTATCGGACAACATTAAGTGATCCGGTCGTTACCCTACTCGGGGTTATTCCATTTTTGATCGGACGACCTTAAGTGGTCCGATACCGGGCAACCTTGAGTGGTCCGGTTGTTACCCTACTTGGGGTCATTTTATTTTTGATCGGACGACCTTAAGTGGTCCGATACCGGACAACCTTAAGTGGTCCGTTGTTACCCTACTTGGGGTCATTTTATTTTTTATCGGACGACCTTAAGTGGTCTGATACCGGGCAACCTTAAGCGGTCCGGTTGTTACCCTACTTGGGGTCATTTTATTTTTGATCGGACGACCTTAAGTGGTCCGATACCGGGAAACCTTAAGTGGTCCGGTTGTTACCCTACTTGGGGTCATTCTATTTTTGATCGGACGAACTTAAGTGCTCCGATACCGGGCAACCTTAAGTGGTCCAGTTGTTACCCTACTTGGGGTCATTTTATTTTTTATCGGACGACCTTAAGTGGTCCGATACCGGGCAACCTTAAGTGGTCCGGTTGTTACCCTACTTGGGGTCATTTTATT